ATTTGCGGGAATTAAATCTAAACTATTACAAGGCGCCGGGTATTTACATCGCCAAAGACAACCCTTGAAATTAAAATGCGGAAAATGAAATAAAGCGATAAAATAAAGTCCTAATTAAAAGCTATTACATTCCGGGAAACAATTACATCAATGGTAAAATGAATCGCGCGCGAAAAATTAAATTGAATGCAAGTTTTTAGGGTTTTGACCCTTTTTGAAAGAAAGCATTTTTTGGTTTATTTTTGAATTAAATGGAATTAAATCTAAGTTAATTATTAAATTAATTAATTAGTTAATTAAAAAAGTATTTTTGGATATTTAAAGAAATAAAATAAATTTGATTTAAAGTTAGTAAAACCTAATTATCTACATTGATTTTAAATATTGCAAAAATATTAAAAGTTAAACCTAATTAAACTAAATTAATTGAATTAATTTATTTACAAAAATAAAATGATGAATTTAATTTTTATAAATAAAATATATTTTTTGGTTTTTGATTTTATGAGAAAAATATTTAATTGGTTAGTAATTAAATAATAAAAATAATAATACAAAACAATTAATTAAAAGAAATAAAAAAGAGAAAATAAAGAGAGTTAGAAATAATGGGCCTGATCAGGGGGGTTTGTTTCGCACTTTCAAGGCCCATTCATGCAAACCTGCTTTGACTTTTGCAATTCCACGCGTGTGCATTGACTTTGGCATATGGTGCACATTCAATCTTGGCCACCAGATCTGGCCTGGGGCCATCTGGCAAGCATCAGGATGAGGATGTATGATGTGTTGCGCAATGGAATCATCACTGGATCACCTGAAGAGAAAAAATACAAAACATTTGGGGGGACCTGGGATTCGAACCCAGGTCCTGTGAGTCAATGAGCAACGCGTCCACCACTGCATCAGCGTGTTTTATTTGTTAACATATTAGACAATTATTATTATAAGAGAAAACACAATAATTATGCTGGAAATAAAAAAAAAGTGCGAATTTTTGAATGAGCCAATTGGATGGGGACACGTCTTCGTCCCTGTCCTTAGAATTATACAGAGATTACCTGCGGATTTATATCCGCAGCTAAATCCCTAGGTCGAACCTAAAACCAAATCCAGGCCATGAAAATTCAATCTAAGACCATGGTCATGTTCGTCTCTCCCTCCTAACACATCCGTGTCCATTATTGGTCTTGATTTCACCTATAGAGAAAATGCCCAAAAACGAATACCAAGAACCATAGAATCGGCTAGGGGGTTACAGGCCATGAAAATGCAATTCCATAATGCAAAAAGTTTCTAAATGGAACGATAAACATGATTGTATAAAGATTTTGCCAAAAAAACGCATGAATATAAGAGTACGATTTCAAGTGCAGAGCGATTTTCAGAGGGACTTACAGTGCGATTGAGGAGAGGAGAGAGCTTGATTTTGATTGCCTTTCACTCAGTGGATATCCAGCAAGGGGTCTACGTTGAGTTTTTGCTTTGAATCGGCCTCTAAAACAGATTTCAGTTTCAAGCTTTTTCAAGTTTGTCTCAAGTTTGGTTTTGATGTTTATGCAGCCTCTAGGTTCTGAAACTCGTGCCTCTCACTGGTATATCTATCAAGCAATGCATTAGGTCAAGTTTTGGGCTTTGAATCTTTGTGCATTGATGCTTTAAGATGTGATTTGATTCACCATTAAAAGGCTTCCAAATTTGTCCAAAAACCAATATTTTGTGCATGATATGGCTTGATATGAGTTTGACCATGTCCATAATTATAATTAAGACCTGTATCAATCAAAAAGATTCCAAGTGATCAAGATTTAGATTTTATTTGGATTTAAATTGATTAAAAATGAATTAATTCAATAAAAATCAAATAAAATAGAAAAATTAATAATTGGACACAAGACAGAATATAGGACACGTGTGTAGTGTGACAAGATCAAATCAAGTGGAAAAAAGTGGGCCCATTTGACAAAATTTGAAGTTTTGGGGATAGTTGACTTTTGGCAATTTTGGAAAAATGCCCAACTTCAACAATGCATAACTTCTTCAACTTTGAACTTTTGGAGGTGTTCTTGGACTTTTTAGAAACCTTGAGGTGTCCTGTAACCAACCCTTTTGGTCTCATCTAATTTTGATATTCCATGCTCAAGTTATAAGCTTTGGAGAAAAAGGTGTTTTTGTTGACTTTCAAAAATGACCTATAATGTCCAAATTTGTAACTTTTTGTGAGTGCATTTCTTGATCTTGGGGTATGAATATGGATTGTAGTAAATTGCATCCTCTTCAAAATGAGATTTGGATGGGTCATTTCTCATAAAGTATGAGAAAGTTATGCTTGGTCAAAGTTGGGTTGACTTTTCCTACAAAACCCTAATTTAGCAACTTTTGAATCTTGATGAATCTTGAGCAATCCTTGATGAATAATGATAAAAACTTGATCAAATGATGAAATATCCTTCAAAATGAGAATGTTGACCAAAAATCTTGAAGTTTGACTGTTTATAGGTCACAGTTGACTTTTGCCCTAGCACAGTCGATTTTTGGGCCTCTTGAGCAATTGACTGACCAAACTTCCTCTGCAAGGCTTGAAATTTGACATGGATGATCTTGAGAACATATTAGGACATTAGGGAGCACTTGAGGTCATTTGGATGCAAGGACCTTGATGCAACACAAAACCCTAATTTGAGATTGACTGCCTTAGGAGATGATTTGACTGTCCAACTCTTGAGCAATCTTTAGGAAACTTGGAGATTATTCTTGACATGTCTTGAGAAATATGAGGGGGAAAATTTTGGGTTACAACATCATCAAAAAAGGAAATTTGTTAATGTGTATGATTTTTCCTTCAAAGCTTAGTTAATGGTTGTCCCTTGCCATTTCTATGTTATGACCCTTTCTCCATCTCCTATAAATATATAACACTTCTACAAGCCATGGCTACGAAATACATACGCACAAGGACAGACTACACGCATACGCTGCCTCATAAGCCACACCAAAGTTATCGAAAATCTCATAAGTGATCCAAAATCGAATCAACCTTCAGCAAACACTCCACCCACTCCCTGAAGTTTGCAGGAGGCGTTCCCAAGCACTAGGCAGGTCAACATACACTAGAGCATCACTCACACAATTTTTCCGTTGGTAATTTGCTTTCGATCTCAAACTAGCTAAGTATGCGATTTTTAAATTCATGTTAATCATACACTCATGTTATTTCTAATTTTTGTTATTGCTTTCATGTGTTACATGCAAGATTAAGCGTAGAGGTGAGATCATGCCATTGCTTGGGCACAATCTATATTTTCTTTCGAATCTCAGGATTCATGACGTTGCAAGATGAAATGGATTTTGATTCAGACCCAGGGGATTCAATTCAGACCCAAGACTAGATTCGATCCAAATCTGGATTTTTGTTTTGTTTCTCTAATAGATTTTTTTTACAGATCAAAGGAATATATCATGCACCTTCGACCAGCTTCCTCCTGGGATCGAAAGGCAGCTCTAGGATCCTTTTAGATCCATGCTTGCATGCTATAATTGGCATAGTCTCCTGCACCATCCCTCCCTTTTGAATTTTGTTTTGTGTTATTTCCTTTTATTTAGTTTTATTTACTGAGCAAAATATTTATAAAAAAATCACAAAAATTAGGTATAGTCTTTTATAATCAAAATTAATTTTATTAACTAATTAATTAATTATTGTAACCTTTTCTTTAATTTAAAATCAATATACCTAGGATTTAATCAAATTTTATTTCATAGTCAAAATAAAATACAAAAAAAAATTCCCTTTTACCTTAGGATTTTTAGGCATATTTTCAATTGGCACATTTATTTTAAATTTCGCATTTTTTATTATTAATGTACCTGCTCATGGGCTGTAATAGAATAACTAGGACATTTAATGCTTTTATCTCCCTATTTTGGACTTGTAATAATCCCCCCCCCCCCCCCCCCCGAAGCTTTGTAATAGTGTAGGAATTATATTCCCGCATTTTATTTTCTGTACAATATTAACTATTAGATGTATGGTAATAGGATTGCATGACAAGAGCATAAAAACAAAATGTTAGCAAACCTAACATAAGACAAAAATAACTGAATACAACACACTTGCACATATACACCTCTAGGGTACTCCCACTTTGGTTTCCTTCGGAAAATAAAACAGTCATGTTCCTCGAAAGTAGTGACGTTTTAGCAAAAGCCCTCGAATCAAAAGATCATAGTCCCTCGATGACCCTTCGGTGTTGCCTTTCGGTAAATGATCTAGTCCCTTAAAACAAAATTGCTAAAGCGTCTCTATATGTTGCCTTTATGACTGTACGATGACCCACAAATGTCTCTCATACATCCAAACGACTATGGCTACCTACTCACTAATAGTAGACTAGCCTTGTCTAAAGGAAAGGAGGAAAAGAACGACCCTTTCGAGTAAAGTAGATATTTGTTAGATGCTTGCTAAAACAAACTTTTCACACTTACACAAAACAACTTTCAAAAACATCTTCAAAACACTTTATTAACACTCTTGAGGACTGATACAAGAGTTATCATAAAGAAAATTGTCGCACTAAGGCATTTTCAAAATACTTTAAAAAGACACACAAAGCACAAGGTATTTCAAAAATGAGCTAAGCATCTGAGAGCCCGTAGAAAAATACGGATGGAAAGGGTGCTAACACCTTCCCTTTCCATAATCTACCCCCCTTACTCAGAAATAATCTTGAAAGGTCTTTTTCTGTTCTTTTCACCCTTTCCTTTATTGGATAAAAGAAAAGTCGGTGGCGACTCTTGTTTACCGTAACATTTGTCAACACAAATGCAAAACCAGTATAAACAGTCAGTTCTGCCACCGTATCACACCTATATTTAAAGGTATTTCCAAATCTAAGTACTTTAATCCCCTGGCGGACATAATTAAAACTAAGTTGGCAACGTGGAATGCAAGTTTGTTATCTATTGCTGACATAGTTCAGTTGGTTCGTTCGATAATTCAAAGTATGGTGCTTTACTCTATTATGACATATTATTGGCCAATTAGTCTAATCAAATTGGTGGAAGGTTGGTGTATAAACTTTATTTGGAGCGCAAATATTAACAAACGAAAGTTGGTTACAGTTGCGTGGAAGCATTATTGTAAAAAGGTAAAGGATGGGGGGTTGGGTCTTAAATCTTTGAGGGTGTTGAATGAGGTTGCGGATTTGAGACAATGTTGGAGTATTAATCAGGGCCATGGGGATTGGGATAAGATTATAAAGTCTAGAGTCATTAAAAGAGGTAGGTGTGTGAATTATCATTTTTTCTCTTCCATCTGGGTAGGGAGCAAAAGTTTCCAATTTACAATGGATAGCAATTCTTTGTGGTTGAAGGGCAACGACGAGAGTATTAATCTTTTGGGCAGATAATTGGTGTGGTCAAGCTCTAATGGACATAATCTCGGGGTATTCTCATGAGTCTTCTGGTATGTTTTTAAAGGATTATATTATTGATAATAGAATTGTTCTTCCTTGTGAAATTCTTAACTTATGTCCAAGCCTTGTGCAATTGTGTGATTCTGTTATTGTTAATCAACAAGTGCATGATAGGATGATCTGGAAGCCTATAGAAAATCGTCTTCTATCACTCAAAGTTGTGTATAAGTAATGTAATAGGTTTAATCATTTGTCCTGGGGGAGCAGTCTGTGGAACAATGTTATCCCTCCATCTTAGTCACTTCTGTTCTGGAGATTGACTCATGGAAAGTTGCTAACGGACGACAACCTTGTAATTCGCAGCCAAAACATGCCTTTAGTTTTCAGCCTCTGATTTGAAAATGCAGAGACCTTTATCATTGTTTTCAACTGTGGCTATGCCAAAAGCATTTGGAATTGGCTTAGTGATAAGTTTAATTTAAACTCCTGTATTGACAACTTAGCAGACTCTATTCAGATCATTGATGATGTGCACTCATATTAGTGTCGTGTTGTTTTTGTGGCGACTATCTTGAACTCGGTTTATAGCATATGGAAGGCGAGGAATTTATTCATATTTCAAAATCAGAAAGTTTAGTGGCAGCAGCATTGTGCCAATATTCTCTCTTCCATGGTTATGACTCGTAATATGACTAGAAGTAAGGCCAATTCTTCCATCTCAGATTTTGTTATTCTGAAAAATTTCAGAGTGGATATCCATCCTCCTCGAACTCAGTCGGTTCGGGAGGTGTTTTGGATTCCTCCTCAATATGGTTGGGTTAAAGTAATGGTAAATGGTGTCTCAGCGCGTACGCATATTATGGCCTGGTATGGAGGCATTTTTTGTAATGATTTTGGTGATCATCTTGGCATCTTTTGTTGTAACATGGGGCTTGGTAATGCTTTATATGCGGAGCCCACGGGGGATATTTTTGCCATGGAAAAGGCTTTTCGGAATAATTGGTCTAATATTTGGTTGGAATCTCATCCCTTGTGGTGTCGGTTTTTAGTAATTCTTCTGTTGTTCTTTGGAAAATCTATAACAGATGGGACTCTTGTTTATATAAGTTGTGAAATTTCAATTTTTTGCTTCCCGCATATTTCGGGAAGTAATCTTTACGCAAATAGATTAGCTAATTTAGGTTAACAAATTCCTAGTTTTACGTGATGGAATGAAGTCCACACAAATGTTTTATTGGATTTTAACATAGACAAATTAAGATTACCTAACTACATAATTAGATAGGTTTGAAGTCAAGTATTTGCCCCCTCATTTTTGTACCTTCTTTCTTTTTATATCATTGTTCTGACCCTTCTTTTGCCAATAAAATAAAATAAATAGATTTAAAATTTTCAAAACCAAAATTAGTTTTCCATTTTTTTTTACAATTTACCTTTAAGATGATTTAATTTTGAGTCATTAGTTTTCAAGTACTTACATTCCAAATTTTTATATTTTTCAGTAACTATTTATGTTTTTCTCTTTATTTTTTTTAACATTTATTCAATTTACTTATTTTAAATATTTATGAATTCAAGCTTATGCAATTAACGCAAGTATTCTTTCAGT